CCTGCCCACGAGATCGAGCCTGCCTCCGAAGATGCCAATTTGTTGGGGCTTAGCCTGAGGGGAGGAAGGTACCCGCGCATCAAGCCGCGCAACGCTCGGCGGCTCCGCTACAACATCACCGGGCTACTACGGCGGGTCTGGTGCAGCGACCACAGGCTTCGTGCAGTTCTGGGCCATGTGACCTGGACGGCAATGATACGCCGTGAGGTCCTGCCCGTGCTTCGCAGCTCGTACGGTTTCGTCGCAGCGCTGGCTGACAGGCAGGGCAGGATGTGGCCGTCCGTGGTGAGGGAGCTCACCACCATTCGTGACCTCCTGCGGATTCTGATGTGTGACCTCGCTGCGGAGTGGCACCTGGCCATGACGGTCAGCGACGCCTCGCCCTACGGCCTCGGTGTCATGCGTAGGCGCGTGCCGCCCTCAGCCGCGCTTGGGAGATGCTCGGAGCGCTGGAGGTGCAAGGTCGAGGGCGGCCACCAGGCGAGGGCCCGCTCGTTGTAGGCCGCCGGCCTGGATCCAGCCAGAGACGGATAATCGAGTGCTCGCAAACACGCTTTACATTCCATGCTTCCAATTTCTTCCTCCACGCATGTCGTTGCCTCGCCCATCGATCAGCCGGTCACGCAACCATCCAGTTGTTCATCGCGCCCTTCGGGCGATACTCCGCACCGCCACTGCATCGCCGTCGCAGGTGGGGAGGAGACTGAGGAGGGCCCCCGCGTGGGCTCGAACTTGGGACTCGAGAGGTTCGCGAAGGAGCAGCGGCACGTCTTGGAGGGCTCGCAGGATATCTTGGAGGCTGGCGTCTTGGGCACAGTCACGGACGTCATGGGCGAGCGCGTCTTGGGCTTCAACGGGGACGTCTTAGTGCCTCTGGAGGTGCCCTGCGGCGCGCCACCCTGTAGCGTCGGAAGGGGACCCTTGGGGGCTCGACGAAATGCCGGCGCATGTCACGAGGGAGGCCGCGCAGCGTGGGGTCAGCGCCCAGTCTGTAAGCGCCGGCTGCAATATCTTATGCCTTGAGGGCGAGGCGCTTGTCACATCGCACCGTCACCTACTTCGGGGCCTCAAGGGCCACGGGAGGTACATTTTGGCCTTGGTGGATACCCTTCCTTTAGCGTTGTCATGTGCGAAGGATCGGGGCCGCTCAAAGCACCCTAGATCCTGCATCAACCAGCTGTGCTCTTTGTCGCTGGCTACTGGCTCGAAGCTCAACGTCCGCTGGATAGCTTCGGGGCGAAACCCTTCGGACGCCCTGGGCCGCGGGGGGCTCGGCTGGTTCAGCGGCCACAGGCACCTCAGCCATGCGGGACCCACTACCGCCAGCGTGGCAGCAACGGTGCTGCTGCCTGTCCTGGCGCCAGCTTCGCGGGCGATGCCACGACGCACGGCCACAACGCCTTCGGCGCGGGCCAGCCAGAGGGCGCGGCTCGCAGCCCATGCCGCTCGCGGACGGAGCAGCACCCCAGCGATGTCGCTACTGCAACAGCTCGCGGCGCGGTCCAACACGGAGGTGTTCCACTGGCACCTCCTCCAGGGCTTCGTCGACCCCTGCTTTCGGGTCCACCTGGCTTGGAGCTCCCTGAGCAGCTCGACGCCAGCCTGGCGGAGTACTTCAGCGGCAAGTACCTGCAGGAGGCATGTGCGAGCATTGGCTCGCATACCACGGCGGCAATCTCCCATTTCGCGCCGGGGCTGCCGCGACAAGCGGCATCTCTGCTGCCCAGGGCGTCGCGGGCCTTGCAGGCCTGGGAGAGGCGGGCGCCAGCGCTGGCCCGGTTGCCGATCCCGCGCGCGGTGATATCCACGCGGGCTGGCATCCTTCCTCCTGGCAGCAGGCCCCTATGGCAGCGCGGCTGGCGATCGGTTTCCCCCGCCGCCTGCGGCCGGCGGGGGCGCGGCGGCCCATGGCGGACAGCATCGCGCAGCCGTCGGCGATGGCAGGCGCGACCTACCAGTTCTGGGGCCGGCTGCTGCATTCCGCGGACCACGGGCAGGGGGGCGCGACGCGGTCGTTCGACGAGTCGATCCTCTTCGACGCGTTCGAGCTATACGCCCTGGTGGAGCAGAACTTCTACGCGCTGCTCGAGAGGGGCTTGGCTGGCGCTGGCCTCCTGCGCTCGGCGGCGCCGCGGCTGGCAGCGGCGATGCCGGCGGGCCCCGACGCGCGCGCGCCGAGGGCTCGCAAGAGTACCGCTGCGCGGGCAGGACCGGCGGCATGGCCGCCGCCCGCTCGGCGCGCGGCCACGGCCACGCCGCGCGCCCCCATCTCACTAGGCGCTACAAGAGCGCAGTGGGCCGCGGGGCTCTGCAGGCGACGGGTGGCTCTCGAGCTTTCCTGCGGCAGTGCGCACTTCGCGGCCGCCGCCAGGCGCATAGGATTGTCTGCTCTCGGGCTCGACACTAGCCAGTCCGAGCTCGAGGACCATGCCCGCCCCATCTGGCTTCGGAGCCGAGCGATCGGCCTTGTGTTTTTAGGGGCCCTTGCACCACGTGGTCTCGCGCGCTGAGACGGCCCTTGAGATCCCGAAGCCACCCGATGGGGATCGGCACTTCGTGAGAGCCGGAGCTTGCCCGTCTGCGCGCCGGCAACGCCGCGTTTTATTTCACCTGTCGCATCATTCCCATGTGTGTAAATCTCAACATCCTTGTAATGCTGACGAGTCCCGCGAGCTCTTGGATGTGGCAGGGCGGCGCGCTTGCTAGTCTCGTGCGAACCGCTAGGGCCCGCGCGTGCGATTTTGCCCTGTGTCAGTTTGGCGCTTTGTGGCGGAAGCGGACCCGAGTTGTGTCATGGGGCACTGGCCCTCTAGCCAGCCTTTCGCTTCGGTGCGCATGGCACCGTGGCGCGTGCTCCCGCGCTGGCAGCAAGCGCGTGATCCTGTCCGGTCAGAACCTTTCGGATGCAAGTATACCGCGTTGGCCGCAACATACCCTTCCCGCTTGTCCATTGCGCTGGCTAAGATCTATACAGACGCCATGCTTGCTCGCCCGAAGCAGGCCATGGCCGCCCTAGTGCGCAAGTGACCTGCTGCCTCTCGCTCGTGTCGCACTTTCAGTTTCCGTGGATAACATCGTCTGCTGCGATCGTGATACTGTTGTGCTAATGATCTTTGCATCTCAACGCCGTGTATAGTTTGCTTCGGCCAGCTGACCCCCGTCAGCAGGCCAGATATTCCTAATGGCGTTCGGGTTTGCATCAGATTCTTGGCCTGCCGCCACCTGTGCTCCGTCTGCGCTCTGTGGCCTCCGACGTGCTCGATGGCGGCCAACCTCCTTTTTGTGTCGCCAGCCTGGCTCGTGGATACACAGACGATCGAGAAACAGTAGGGCTCTCTTAGCCTCTGGAGGTCCCTGCGTTTCTTCGGTCAGCTCTGGTACTTGTGAGAACGAGGCGGGCTGTCCAGTTTTGAAACGTGAAGCAGAGCATCGGTTGGAGAGTGCCGCACTTGCGATGCCATCGACATGCGGGCTCAAGTGCACCCACCCGCGTGCCGCCCGCATCTCTCAAGCCGTTTTTCGCTTGGGGTTTGCATCGGATTCTTTGCCTGCCGCCACCTGTGCTCCGTCTGCGCTCCGTGACCTCCGACGTGCTCGATGGCGACCAACCTCCTCTTTGTGTCGCCAGCCTGGCTCGTGGATGCACAGACGACCGAGAAAAAATACGGTTCCCTTGGCCTCTGGAGGTTCCTGCGTTTCTTCGGTCAGCTGTGGCACTCGTGAGGACGAGGCGGGCTATATATATATATATATACACATATACATATACATACATATATATATATATATGTGTGGGAGACGCGTAGGTGCGCTGCCAGATCCGGAATCGGTCGGGCGACGTTGTCTCCCAGTGTTTCCCATTGTCTCCCTTTGTTTCCTATCGTCTATCCACATCCCGATCCCTAACCTTGCTCTTGTCTCTCAGCCTGTATTCCTATGTATCACACGTATCCCCATTTTCTGTGTATGTGTATTCCCTATCATTAAATTCCTTTTTTTATATCCTTAGCCCTGTATCCCAATCCCTGCCCCTATCCCTATCCCGCTCCCCCCATCGTGGCCTTCATCGTAACCCCCCATTTTGATTCCCATCCTAATCGTGTAAAACTGTTGAGGGTCTTCCGCCACAAGGATACCATTCGAGTGGAGCTTTCGCCTCACCAATGTCATGGCCGTGCGTGTAAAGCCCTCCGGCGCTTACGTGGATAAAGAACGAGCCGGTGTTATGCTGTGGCTCTCGCCCTTGCTCCACTCACATTCGTTTCGTTGGCTCCACCACGCACGCGGATGGAAGGCGGGTCTCGTCATAGTGCCGCAATCATTCGTTTTAAAAGTCCCAACAACTACGCGGGCGGAGGGTGGCCCATGTTCCCCATACGGCTCTCACCTTAGTGCCGCGCGCATTCGCATTACAAGTTTTTAGACTTTCCTGAATGAAGGTGATCGATTCAGACTGAGCTCCGCTCGCATTGCATGATACCATGAATGGCCTATACTCATTATGTGGATCACCGCTGCTCTGCGCAAATTAAGACGTTCTGTACAAGCAATACATCGGCAGACGGCGCTTTTCTTCGAAATCAGGCTTTCGCTGGGGACTTATAACCACACGGGTAACATCGTGCAACTTGTACACGGCTGAAGCGTGACTCTTTCTCAATGTTGGGCTCTCGTTGGGAGTGTCGTAAAATGTTGATGCGCTCTTTTGGCATCTCATGGCAGCTCTTATAGCCTAACGCTAGGACGATGAATGGTGGCTAATTTTTCAAATCGGGGTTCCCGCCTGAGTCACGTGGCAATGGGTCGCTCGTCTTTTTCACGGGTGCGCCTCCCGTTGTGAAAAGCAATGCGGGTGGGGACCCACGAGGTCGGGATTTGCGACGGGAGGGTATGTTGCGCAGCATCTCCGATGCATCTTAGGTTTGCTCTGGTCCTCCTCCCCCTCCTCCCCATCCTCCCACTCCCCATCCTTGTCATCCCCGTCCTTACCTTCGAGCGAGGCGTCCTTGGCGAAGGGACGCGTATACTTGAATAACATGATGTACGACGCGTGGCTCCAGCTGGACGCGATCGAGGTCGAGTGCAAGGAGTTCGAGGAGAGCAATCGTATGGTGTTCGGCCAGGTGGTGACAGACTTGGAGCACCTGGGATCTGACCTCGCTGACAAGGAACGCATGAAGTCTGAGGCAGAAGGTGGCGTCGCAGACACGGACACTCGGATCACCGACTTGGAGGGCGCCCTGCACAGCTTGAAACGCAGCTTCCAGTCAACCCGCGAGAAGAACGCGTACGAGCTGTCGCTGCGCCAGGACGACCAGGATGTCTTCACCGCCATCCTGCAGCTGTCCAAGTGCCCGAACGCCTACGGTGACGACACGTACTCCCTCGCGCAGTTCCGGATCTGCGACACGGACAACGGCACGCGGGTGGAGGTGAGCGACGCCTCTCTGGCAGCGAAGCTGAACCAGTCGCCGCGGGCGCTCAGGGTGCTCCGGGAAGTCCTGGAAACCGCCGGCTCCGGGGCGCCCTCGCTGCTGCAGGTCGAGCAGGCGCCCCCGCCGCAGTCGGTCAAGCAGCCGAAGGGCGGCTCGAGGAAGTGCCTCAACGGCATTGTGAACTGCGGCTACCTCCACGACTTGATGGCGCTGGAGTGGGGCAAGTTCAAGGACCTGGTGGACGAGCTGACCTACATCATGCAGCACAATCGCGACGCCTACGAGGGCGAGAAGGAGAATATGAACGAGCAGATTTCGACGCTGAGGTCGGAGAAGATGAAGTTCACGGAGATGCTGAGTGAGGCCGTCTCCGAGATCAATTCGCTCACGGCGGCGACGCGCGAGAAGCAGCAGCAGCACCGCGACGTCGAGCGTGCCTTCAATTTCAAGATGGCGGACTGCAAGAAGCGCATGAGCGAGATCCTCTACACGAACATTTGTGGGACCCGAACAGTGCGCAACGCGCTGATGCGGTACAGCACTGTCTCGCCCACGAGATCGATTACGGACTGCGACGTGACAGATTGGTCCGCGGGGCCGTGCACCACCGACGGGAGGGGCAGCTCAGTACCAGTAGACTGCGACGACAGCTGCCCCGAAGACGTGGGGGGCGTCGACGTGAACACGTGCGGTGGCATAAAGCAGCTCACCAGGCAGGTCATCGTCTCCCCAAACTCTTTCGGAATGGCCTGCCCCCCGCTGTTCTTCGAGCGCAAGAACGGCACCGAGGGCATGAAGTGCAACCAGTTTCACTGCCCAGTCGATTGCTCCATGTCCGAGTGGTCCGGCTGGTCGGGCTGCTCCAAAGAGTGTGGGGGCGGCACCCAGGGGAAGACCCGCTCCATCCTCGTGAAGCCCAAGAACGGGGGGACGGAGTGCGACACCACGCTCGAGGAGCAGCCGTGCAACACCGGCTCGTGCGACCGCGACTGCACGCTCATGCCCTGGACCGCGTGGGAGCCCTGCTCGATGGCCTGCGGCGGCGGCATCCAGGAGCGCGTGCGCAAGGTGGACATCCCCATCCGCGCGAACGGCAGGTGCCCCGGGCCGAAGCACCCCGACCGCTTCCAGATGCAGGAGCGCGCGCGCGACCTGGCCCCACCCTCTCCCCTCCCCTCCCTCAGGCAGGGCTTCGGCGCGCCCCGCGCGCCTCGAGACAGCCCTGCCCCACTGCAGACCCTCGGCGCCCCCTGGGATCGGCCCGGCCCGTGCGCAAAGTGGACATCCCCATCTGCGCAACGGCAGGTGCCCCAGGCACCAGCACCCCGACCGCCTCCAGATGCAGGAGCCGCGGCCCGGCTCGCCCCCTCGCCCCCGCCTGGCCTGCCCGCTCCCAAGGCTATGGGGCAGGAGGAGGAGGAAGAAGGAGGAGGAGGAGGAGGAGGAGGAGGAGGAGGTGGGGGAGGAGGAGAAGGAGGAGAATGAGGATGAGGAAGGGAGGAGGAAAAGGAGGAGGAGGAGGAGGAGGGAGGAGGAGGAGGAGGGGATAGGGGATGAGGAGGAGGAGGAGGAGGAGGAGAAGGAGGAGGAGAAGGCGGGAGGAGGAGGAAGGAGGAGGAGGAGGGAGGAGGAGGAGGAAGAGGAGGAGGAGGAGGAGGAGCGGAGGAGGAGGGAGGAGGAGGGGAGGAGGAGGAGGAAAGGAGGAGGAGGAGGAGAGGAGGAGAGGAGGAGGCAGGAGGAGGAGGAGGAGGAGGGGGAGGAGGTGGTGGAGGCGGAGGAGAAAGCGAGGGCGCGACCGACCTGTGTGCTGCTCGGACCCAGGCCGGCGACCCACGCCGACGCGGGGTGGGCGGCGGGGGCCCCAGCAGTTCTCTCTCTCTCTCTCGAGCCCCCCCCCTCCTCAAGCGACCAGGCAGGGCGAGCGGGAGGCGGCAGCGGAGGGAGGGGAGCGGCGGAGGCACGCCGCGTGCGCTCGCACGATGTCTGACATGCTATCCCTCCATCCCATCCTTTCCATGGCACCCGTTGTTTCTTTGTCCGCGGCCGCGCGTGTCATAGCCGACCTGGAACTCCCACAAAAGGCCCCATCCTGTTTTGCGCAATCGGACAAGGGAAGCTGGATACAAAGGAGGAGGAGGAGGAAGAAGAGAAGGAGGAAGACGATGAGGAGGAGGAGGAGGAGAAGGAGGAGGAGGAGGAGGAGGAGGAGGTGGCGGGCGAGCAGGAGGATGAGCAGGACGAGAGGGAGGAGGAGGAGGAGGAGGAGGAGGAGGAGGAGGAGGAGGAGGAGGAGGAGGACGGAGGAGCACGAGGACAAACAGCAGAAGCAGCAGGAACTGGAGTGATCTGAGTGGGAGGAGCAGGAGGACCAGGGGAGAGTGGATGAGGGGAAATAAAGTGGGAGACAGCGATGAACAGGATTCGGATCCAGAAGAGAGGCCCGCACTGGGGCGAGAGCGCCACTCGGAACGGCGGGGCACAGCGCCGATCCGAAGCTGAGGCCCATGCTGCAGAGGGAAAACATGTTTGACACCGACAACACAGGTGCAACAACACAGGAAGAACCAACTAATGGCATCCTGCGCATAATATAGCAATACGCGAAGAGGGCCGGAGATCTCCCAAATAGGCTCAGGGGAGAGGAGGTGAGGGAGGAGGAGGAGGAGGGAGGAGGAAGGAGGAGGAGGGAGGAGGAAGGAGGAGGAGGAGGTGGAGGAGGAGGAGGAAAGAGAAAGAGAAAGAGGAGGAGGAGGAGCAGCAGGAGGAGGAGCAGGAGGAGGAGGAGGAGGAGGAGGAGGAGCAGGAGGAGGAGAAGGAGGAGGAGGGAACGTGGAGACCAGCAGCGCTCCATGGAAACCGAGGCCCTCGAGGCACCTGCCGCTCGGGCGTTTCCTGGCCCCTTGCGGCGCCCTCCCCCCACCACGGGTGGCCATCGGGTCTGAGCTCGTGCCTCGGGCGGCCGCTCGGGACGATCTGGGACCCCCTGGACGCCTCTTGGCGGGGCGCAGCCGCTGGAACAGGGGAACGAAGAGTGGCATGAACATGAAAGCTCGGAGGCCCCCGCGGATTTCTCGGATCGGCGCTGGGACCCCCCTCCCTGGCGCGCGGAGCGCGCCAGGGGCGGCGCCGGAGGCGCCGCGGGGGGGCCCCAGCGCCGACGCGAGAACTCCGCGGGGACCTCCGAGCTTTTATGTTCATGCCACTTTTCGTTCCCCTATGGAAGGCATCCCGAGGCTGGAGCACCGCCGAGAGCAACAGAGGGCGCCCGAACACCGCGACCCTCGGGCCCGCAGCGTGCCGCCCTGCAGTGCTGTTTTTGATACATGCTCCGCGTGCGCATCATGCATGTATTAAGAACGCAGGGACTTAGTATTAAAAACAACGGCGAGTTCGTGTATAAATCCGTTCATACATGAATCATGTATTAAAGATCCTATATGCTTAAAAATCCGGTGTATTAAAAACTGCCCTGTACGGCCTCCGGCGCACCCAGGAGTGCAACACGCAGGAGTGCGTCGGCGACGAGATCTGCATCGCCAGGCTCGGGGGGGCCCCTGCGCGGGCGGCGCGGCCGACCGGTCCCTCCGCCCTATTCCCGCTGCGCGCGCCCGCATCGGCGACGGCCTACCCCCCAGGTCTAACCCTAGGCCTACCCTAGGCCTACCCCTAGGCCTGCCCCCTAGGCCTACCGTAGGCTTACCCCTAGGTCTACCCCCTGCCCTAGGCCGAGAGGGCCCAGAGTCGGCGAGGCCACTAGCGCGCCCTGGGCGCCGTCCCGTAGTGGGGTCACGCCAGCCGTGCCTGGGCGGCAGGCCTTCTGCCGGTGCGGGGCGAGGCGTGCACTTCTGATTCCGCGTTGGCTTCAGTCTGTGGCCGCAGCTTTGCAGTCGGGCCGCTGAAGAAGGAACCCTTTTCGTTGGGGAGGGGCTCGGTGCTCTTTGACTGTTTTACAGCTTGTCTCAGGTTGTCCTCAGCTTTTCTATAGGACTGCGAAGTTTAACTTGTGGAACAGCAGGGCCTCGTTCCTTGTATTAGCTTCCCAATGACAGCGTTTCGACTGTAGTTCTAGCGGCATCAGACCCCACATCAGCACACCACTGGACGGTATACGGGACATCGCGGGACGCCGAGGAAGAGAAGTTTTATCATTCCGTGGGCGCGAGGTCGCGACAACAAAACAGCGCGACCGTCGGCGACACCAAAGCAGATGTGCCTCGTATCTGCACTTATCTTTAGCCTTGGCTTCAGCTCTCGTTTCAGGAAGCTCCCATGAGCTCTGACAATTATGTGGTTTGATTCGTTGAGAACCTTACAGTGTCTTTACCATTCTAACGCACACGCATCTATAAGCCTTGTGGCGCTCCGCTGCGTACTGCAGGCGCGGTAACACACGTAGCTTCAATTTAGTACCACGCGTTTGATCGCATACCTACTTAAGTTCGTATGAAGGATTACATGCTGCTTCACCACTGGCGTGTTGGACATTAGCTGGCAGCTGGAAACTATGACGATCAGACAGTGCAAACGTTTGAACATCCACTCGAACAGCTGGTTTCCGACTTGACGATCGATACGTCACATATAAATCGGCGCACTGTCGGGAATCAATATGTGCATTCATATGCAAAATCGGCAACGCTTCGGGACACATAGGGGCACCATCGGGACGCCGTCGGAAATCAATCAGCACACCATTGGGGTACCATCGGCACACAAGAAAGGCATTAGTGGAACACTGTCGGCGGTCGAACAGAAAGCACGATGAAACCACTGGGACACCCAGCACCGCCGCTAGCTGGGAGAAGGCTCATCAGCAGCACGAGGTAGGCAAAGGCCCATCGGCACTCGCACACTCCGCACGCACGTCACGAACCGCACGGAACTTTAGGGCGACGATATCTATACATATCCACTGCTCCCGGCCAGGCCAATCCTGGGCCCAGGAGCGGTGTATACGCCCTCCTGGCTTGGCCAGGGAGGCATATACACCGCTCCTGGGCCCAGGATGGGCCTGGCCAGGAGCAGTGGATATGCATAGATCTCGTCGCCCTAAACTTGGAAGCATGGCTTCTTCGTTGCTGGCAGTGGCTGTCACACCCGCCTTTCCAACACCACCGCCGAGCTTGGCCCGGCGCGTCTCGGCGCGGAGATGGCCGCGCACCGCGGGGCGCGAGGCGCGAAGGCGGGTGGCCTAGAACTCAGGAGGGGAAAACACACAGAGACACAATGAATCCTCGATTCCCCAGGAAAGTAGGGAACATATGGGAGGTGGGGGGGAAGACAAAAACCAGAAAATATGGGAAAAATGTTGGGAATCGTGTTATTTGTGCGCATTTATCCGTAAGGGCTTCGCCCCATGCCGCCGGCCCCCTTCCTCGGATCATGGGAGATGCAAAAGCTAAAGCATGAGGTCTGGGCGCCGCCGTGAAGCAGTGTCGGGACCTGTTTGTTTTTCGAACTTGGTTCCGCCGATTAAAAATGTCACAAACCCCATATATTTTACACCCTAACCCCACCGATTGGCGTGAGGGTGTGTTGCCGAATTTCAAAAATATGGTAAATCTCTTGTGTTGTTGGACCCTGACCCCGCCGATCTGTGTGAGGGGTGCCACCGAATTGAAGAAATGTGGCAAATCCCATGTGTTTTTGCACCCTGACCCCGCCGATCTGTGTGAGGGGTGCCACCGAATTTTTTAAAAATGAAGCAAATCCCGTGTGTTCTTGGACCCTGACCCTGTCGATCCGCGTGAGGGGTGCCACCGAATTTCAGAAATGTTGAGAATCCCGTAGGTTTTCGGACCCTGACCCCGCCGATCTGCGTGAGGGGTGCAATCGAATTTCAGAAATGTGGCAAATCCTGTGTGTTTTTGGGCCCTGACCCCGCCGATCTGCGTGAGGGGTGCCAGCAAATTTCAAACATATGGCAAATCCCGTGTGTTGTTGCACCCTGACCCCGCCGATCTGCGTGAGGGGTGCCATCGAATTTCAAACATGTGGCTAATCCCATGTGTTTTTGCACCCTGACCCCGCCGATCTGCGTGAGGGGTGCGAGCAAATTTCAGAAATGTGGCAAATCCAATTTGTTTTTTCCCCACATGCTTCGTGGGGTTCTGGTTTTCTTCCCTGCCGCGCCGCACCCGCGACACACACCTCACTCTTCGTACAGCACAGCTCAGCACAGCACATCACAGCACAGCTTAGCTCAGCACAGCACACAGCTCAGCTCAGCTCAGCACACAGCACAGCACAGCTCAGCACAGCTCAGCACAGCCCAGCACGGCTCAGCTCAGCACAGCACAGCACAGCTCGTGGCACTTTCTCGACACCACAGGGGGTGCGCAGGGGGTGGTCTCTCAGCTCGGCCGCTATCCACGACACTGGCGCAAAGCCTAGCAGGCGTGGCACTCTCTCGACACCAAAGGGGGTGGGCAGGGGGTGGTCTCTCAGCTCGGCCGCTATCCACGACACTGGCGCAAAGCCTAGCAGGCGTGGCACTTTCTCGACACCACAGGGGGTGCGCAGGGGGTGGTCTCTCAGCTCGGCCGCTATCCACGACACTGGCGCAAAGCCTAGCAGGCGTGGCACTTTCTCGACACCACAGGGGGTGCGCAGGGGGTGGTCTCTCACCGCGGTCCCTATCCACGACACTGGCGCAAAGCCTAGCAGGCGTGGCACTTTCTCGACACCAAAGGGGGTGGGCAGGGGGTGGTCTCTCAGCTCGGTCGCTATCCACGACACTGGCGCAAAGCCTAGCAGGCGTGGCACTTTCTCGACACCACAGGGGGTGCGCAGGGGGTGGTCTCTCAGCTCGGCCGCTATCCACGACACTGGCGCAAAGGCTAGCAGGCGTGGCACTTTCTCGACACCACAGGGGGTGCGCAGGGGGTGGTCTCTCAGCTCGGCCGCTATCCACGACACTGGCGCAAAGCCTAGCAGGCGTGGCACTTTCTCGACACCACAGGGGGTGCGCAGGGGGGTGGCAGCTTCCACGACACTGGCGCAGCTAGAGGCGTGGACCACCTGCGCAGTGGCAGCTCCCGCACGACACGCGCAAAGGTGCAGGCGTCTTTCTGACCACCAACGGGGTGCGCGGTCTCTCAGCTCGGCCGCTATCCACGACACTGGCGCAAACCTAGCAAGCGTGGCACTTTCTCGACACCACAGGGGGTGCGCAGGGGGTGGTCTCTCAGCTCGGTCGCTATCCACGACACTGTCGCAAAGCCTAGCAGGCGTGGCACTTTCTCGACACCACAGGGGGTGCGCAGGGGGTGGTCTCTCAGCTCGGCCGCTATCCACGACACTGGCGCAAAGCCTAGCAGGCGTGGCACTTTCTCGACACCACAGGGGGTGCGCAGGGGGTGGTCTCTCAGCTCGGCCGCTATCCACGACACTGGCGCAAAGCCTAGCAGGCGTGGCACTTTCTCGACACCACAGGGGGTGCGCAGGGGGTGGTCTCTCAGCTCGGCCGCTATCCACGACACTGGCGCAACGCCTAGCAGGCGTGGCACTTTCTCGACACCACAGGGGGTGCGCAGGGGGTGGTCTCTCAGCTCGGCCGCTATCCACGACACTGGCGCAAAGCCTAGCAGGCGTGGCACTTTCTCGACACCACAGGGGGTGCGCAGGGGGTGGTCTCTCAGCTCGGCCGCTATCCACGACACTGGCGCAAAGCCTAGCAGGCGTGGCACTTTCTCGACACCACAGGGGGTGCGCAGGGGGTGGTCTCTCAGCTCGGCCGCTATCCACGACACTGGCGCAAAGCCTAGCAGGCGTGGCACTTTCTCGACACCACAGGGGGTGCGCAGGGGGTGGTCTCTCAGCTCGGCCGCTATCCACGACACTGGCGCAAAGCCTAGCAGGCGTGGCACTTCTCGACACCACAGGGGGTGCGCAGGGGGTGGTCTCTCAGTTCGGCCGCTATCCACGACACTGGCGCAAAGCCTAGCAGGCGTGGCACTTTCTCGACACCACACGGGGTGCGCAGGGGGTGGTCTCTCAGCTCGGCCGCTATCCACGACACTGGCGCAAAGCCTAGCAGGCGTGGCACTTTCTCGACACCACAGGGGGTGCGCAGGGGGTGGTCTCTCAGCTCGGCCGCTATCCACGACACTGGCGCAAAGCCTAGCAGGCGTGGCACTTTCTCGACACCACAGGGGGTGCGCAGGGGGTGGTCTCTCAGCTCGGTCGCTATCCACGACACTGGCGCAAAGCCTAGCAGGCGTGGCACTTTCTCGACACCACAGGGGGTGCGCAGGGGGTGGTCTCTCAGCTCGGCCGCTATCCACGACACTGGCGCAAAGGCTAGCAGGCGTGGCACTTTCTCGACACCACAGGGGGTGCGCAGGGGGTGGTCTCTCAGCTCGGGCTATCCACGACACTTAGCAGCTAGCCGCACTCACGCTCGGCGCTATCTCACGACACTGTCGCAAAGCTAGTAGGCGTAGCACTTTCGCGACACCACAGGGGGTGCGCAGGGGGTGGTCTCTCAGCTCGGCCGCCATCCACGACACTGGCGCAAAGCCTAGCAGGCGTGGCACTTTCTCGACACCACAGGGGGTGCGCAGGGGGTGGTCTCTCAGCTCGGCCGCTATCCACGACACTGGCGCAAAGCTTTGCAGCCGTGGCACTTTCTCGACACCACAGGGGGTGCGCAGGGGGTGGTCTCTCAGCTCGGCCGCTATCCACGACACTGGCGCAAAGGCTAGCAGGCGTGGCACTTTCTCGACACCACACGGGTGCGCAGGGGGTGGTCTCTCAGCTCGGCCGCTATCCACGACACTGGCGCAAAGGCTAGCAGGCGTGGCACTTTCTCGACACCACAGGGGGTGCGCAGGGGGTGGTCTCTCAGCTCGGCCGCTATCCACGACACTGGCGCAAAGCCTGGCAGGGAACATTCGCGACGAGGGCCCAGAACGCAGGATTGTGCATATATATATATATATATATATATTGTATACATAAACAAACACATAAGATTTAAATTCAGTATGTGGGGTTCCTCGGTAGCGTAATGGACCCTGACCCCGCCCGCCGATCTGCGTGAGGGGTGCCAGCTAATTTCAGAAATGTGGCACATCCCGTGTGTTTTTGGCCCCTGACCCCGCCGATCTGGTGAGGGGTGTCAACTCTTACCCACCCCAGCAATTCAGAGCACACGCTCAGGGCGTGCTAAGCCTGCCCGTTTGGGCCTCTCCCCCCTCGCGCGGTCCATCAACAAGGAACGGTAAGCAGCGAGAAGCAGAACTGTAACCGTGGAAACTGGAAGCTGCAGCTGGCACAGGAAACTGCGAACCTTCGGCCTACACCCTGGTGGCCCCACAAGGGGGCCGGCGGACTCGTGAGCCCCAGGGCCCAGTCAAGAGCCTGGAGCTCGAGAGGCCTCCAGACACGCCTCCCCGACTCTGGCGGCCTTGGCCTCGAGGCGTGCCTGCGTGGAGCCCAGGACGGGCGCAGGGAGTGCGGCTCAGGCACGGGCGTCGGGCGCGGAGCCGAGTGGAGCGGGCGTGGTCCGCGGGAGCCCGCGTCCTCGCTCGCACCGGACCTCGCTGTTCTTCCGCCGGCCCCGTCGGGGCCAGCTCGAGCGAGGCAGACTCGAGCCTGGCGTCTTCCCCGAGCGGGGCGGCGGAGTGGCCCGCGCCCCGCCCGTCCGAGCAGGGTGCCGCGGGCGCTCGCCCCCAGCCCCCCCCCCCCAAGTGCGCAGGCAGGACCTCGTCATCGCGCTGGACGGCAGCGGCTCCCTGAAGCAGGAGGGCTTCGACGGGTGTCCCTTCCTCCTCCTCCTCCTCCTCCTCCTCCTCCTCCTCCTCCTCCTCTTCCTTTTCCTCCTGCTTCTCCTTCTTCTCCTTCTTCTCCTCTTCCCTCCTCCTCCTCCTCCTCCTCCTCCTCCTCTTTTCTTCCTCCTCCTTTCTTCCTCCTCATCATGTTCCTTCTCGCTTCCTCCTCCTCCTCCTCCTCCTCCTCCTCTTTCTGCCTTCTCGGTCTGCACGAATCTGGCCCGAGTTTCGGCCACGCTGGCAGGACAGGCGTTCGGCCGGATGCCTGCTGGTCTCTGACATGAGTCGGTGTAAATCGGTGGCCGCTCCCATCCTCTGCCTCCCCCCCAGGAGCCCACCCCCAGACCAGCGTCACGGTGAATTGGGCACCGCCTAGGAACCCCCTCAGGGCCAGGAGCGCCCTGGGAGCTCCCCAGGAGCCCTCCAGGAGCCGCCTAGGAGCCGCCCAGGAGCCCCCCCAGACCAGCGTCACGGTGAATTGGGCACCGCCCAGGAACCACCTTAGGAACCCGCTAGGAGCGCCCTGGGACCTCCCCAGGAGCCCCCCAGGAGCCCTCTAGGAGCCCCCCAGGAGCCCACCCCCAGACCAGCGTCACGGTGAATTGTGCACTGCCCAGGAACCCCTTCAGGAACCCGCCAGGAGTGCCTTGGGAGCCCCCAAGGAGGGCTTCGACATCGTCCAGAAGTTCGCCCTGAACCTCACCAGCAGGTACCAGAGCACCTACTACGGCGTGGAGGACATGCGCATCGGGCTGGTGCTCTTCGGGAACGGCGAGTACTTCGACAACGGCACCGTCGCGGCGGCCCTCGAGGTTGTCCCGATCACGAGCGACCTGGAGTCTGTCAGCACGGCGATCGCAGGGTTGCAGTGGCAGCGCGGGTTCACCAACATGATTCAGGCCCTCCAGGCTGCCGACAACATGTTCGCGGACGGCCGAGACGACGCGCAGAGCGCCGTCATGGTGATCTCGGACGGCAGGTACACCAACGCGTACCGCACGACCATGAAGGCGACGGCACTGAAGGACAAGGGCGTGCAGATTTTTATGGCTCCCATCGCCGAGAGCGTGACGCAGGATCTGCAGGTGCTCAGGGGCTGGGCCAGCGAGCCGTGGGAGACCAATTACGAGCGCATCCCGGGCCTCACGGCGCTCATCAACAACGAGCCCGAGTTTGCCCAGAAGCTGCTGGTGAAGTTCTGCCCCCGCGCGTTCTCGCCATCGCAGCAAGCGGAGGAGGAGGCGCAGCAGGGCTACCTCAAAATCCACGAGGAGGGCTACCCCTCCGACAGCTGCGGCGAACGGAAGAGAATGCGCAGTGCCAGCACCGCCGAGGCTTGCATGGAGTTGGTGAAGGAGGTAGGCATCCTGGCCTTCTCGTTCGTGGAAGGAGGCCGTGGGGCAGGAACCTGCTACTCGGCGGCGATAGACGTCACCGATGACCTGTGGGCCGAAGCGCTGAACGACCGCGTCAACCTGACGTGCCCCGGGGGTGCTTGGGTCTACAACGAGTACGCGTCCACCTACATCATGAACCCGAGCATGTTCGGAGACCTCTTCGACGAGACCTCCTCTTGAGCCTGCGCGATGGCTGCATGCCACGTGGCGGCACCAGGAGTGCTTCCCGCCGCGCTGTCGCTCAGCGAGCTTTTTCAACACTCCTGTGTGTTGGGTCCTCGTTTCGAGTTCGCAGCGCTGCGCCCTACCTCCTCCTCATCCTCCTCCTCCTCCTTCCCACCTGGAGCAATAGTGAACCGGGAACTGGCGA